TATATATATATATATATATATACCTATATATATAAATATATATATATATATATATATATATATATATATATTTATTTATTTATTTATTTATTTATTTATTTATTTTTTTACTAAGATACTATTATTCAGCTTAAAGTCCAATTTAAAAAGAATACAAATTGAAATAATTCTGACTTCAACTGTACATGTAGAGAGCCAGAGACAAAAGTGTGTGAATGTCCCATTGGCGTGGGTATTTAGCCCGAGTGAGGTGCTGCCTGTTGCGGTGTCAAAAATAGCTGCGGTATTATGGCAGCATGAGCCAGGTGCTCCCTGGGCGATTTCACGTTGCAGTAGGGGCGACACAGTGATCTGCAGCTGACACTCACAGCTTGGAAACCTGCTCAATGGTGGAACCGAGTCAACGCATTTGGTTCATGCCAACTTTTTTTTTTTCTTAGCCGGAAAGGGCTAAGGAGCTCAAATAAAAGCCATAAATAAACATTGTTTACTTTATGCAAAGACTCATTTAAGATCTGTTTACTGATATAATTGCTTCCCATTAGCCTACTGGTTATGACCTACAAGTATTATTAAATCAACACATAACGTTATTTCACATTTACTAGTTTTGAGTCAGAAATCACAATTAGAAAGAGATCCTCTGGCCAGAAGGAAGATTTTTTTTATTATTATTCAATAAATAGTAATATTAATAATATTCATTCATAAATTTTCTTTTCGGCTTAGTCCTTTGATTAATCTGTGGTCGCTACAGTGAAATGAACCGCCAACTGATCCAGCTTATGTTTTTACGCAGTGGATGCCCTTCCAGCTGCAACTCACATTCACACACACACTCATACACTGCGGACAATTTAGCTCACCCAATTCACCTGTACCACATGTCTTTGGGGTGTGGGGGAAACCGGAGCACCCGGAGGAAACCCACGCCAACACGGGAAAAACATGCAAACTCCGCACAGAAATGCCAACTGACCCAGCCGAGGCTTGACCCAGCGACCTTTTTGGTGTGAGATAATAATAATAATAATATTAAATAATAATAATAATAATAATAATAATAATAATTTTGGCATATTTATAACAGTTATGAAAGTAAACAGACATTTAAAAGATCAAGTGGAGATTACGTTTGTAACCACACTGTATGCTTCTAAATTGTGTTTAATAATGTTAATGTACAGTTGAAGTCACAATTATTAGCCCCCTCTGTATATTTTTCCCCCAATTTCTATTTAATTTCTGTTAATGGAAATAGATTTTTTAGCACATTTCTAAACATAATAGTTTTAATAACTAATTTCTAAAAACTGATTTATTTTATCTTTGCCATGATGACGGTAAATAGTATTTTACTAGATATTTTTTAAGATAGAAGTATTTAGCTTAAAGTGGTTATTCTGTAGACAATAATAAAAAATACTGCTTAAGTAGGCATGGCCTACATGGTTTTAAATTTTTTTTTAAAAAAGTGAAACAATTAAGACAAAAAAAAAGGAAATACTGTGTAAAAGAAAAAAATCACATGGGTAATATTTGAAAAAGAAAACTCACTGGAGGGCTAATAATGTTTACTTCAACTATATATAAAATGGTTTGTTTAGATGTAAAAAGGTATATGCAGTTGAAGTCAGAATTATTAGCTGAATTAACCCCCCCCCCCCCTTAATTACTATCCCCCATTTATTTTTTCCCCAATTTCCATTTAACAGAGAGCAGATTTCTTCAACACATTTTAACTCATTTTTGATGACAAGTTTTAATAACTCATTTCTAATGAATGATTTATTTTATCTTTGCTATGATGACAGCACATGATATTTTACTAGATATTTTTCAAGACACTTCTATACAGCTTAAAGTGACATTTAAAGTCTTAACTAGGTTAATTAGGTTACCTAGGCAAGTTAGGGTAATTAGACAAGTTATTGTATAACAATGGTTGGTAGACTAGTGAAAAAAAAAAAAGGAGATTATATTTTTTACCTTAAAATGGTTCTTAAAAAATATATAAACTTTTATTCTTGCTGAAATAAAACAAATGAGACTTTCTCCAGAAGAAAAAATATTATTAATTAAATTAATTATTATTATTAATTTAAAAGAGCTATTATTATGGACCTTAAAAATACAAATAAAGAAGTATAGAAAGAAAGCTTTTACTCCAGGCAAACTAAAATAAAAAAAGACTTTCTCCCAACGATAATATTATAGGAAATACTGTACAAAAATGTTGTTACTAAGTTATTACTTGGGAAAGATTTTATTATTATTATTATTATTATTATTATTATTATTATTATTATTATTATTATTATTATTATTCTTTCTTGTCAGTTTAGTCCCTTTATTAATCCGGGGTCGCCACAGTGGAATGAAGCTCCAACTTATCCAGCATGTTTTTACGCAGCGGATGCCCTTCCAGCCGCAACCCATCTCTGGGAAATATTATTATTATTAATAATAATAATAGTGAGAAGAAGTATATCAATAATTAAATAATTGTTATATATGAGGCTGATAATTTTGCCTTTAATTGTTCCCTTCATATCAACTATATTTTTAATTCGACATCGTTGTCATTAATTTAAAAGTCTAATCAACCGATGCTTCAAACAAGATTGAAAAAATAAATAAATAAAATTATTTACTCCAAGTCTTGCTGAAGAGACATAATAGATTTAAAGGGGACCCATTATGCCCCTTTTTACAAGCTTTAAATTAAGCCTCTGATGTCTTTAGAGTGTGTATGTAAGGTTTCAGCCCAAAATACTCCACACATAATGTTTTATAACTCTTTGAAACTGCCCCTTTTCAGCTTTGATCCTAATTGTGGTGTTTTGGTGACTGTCACTTTAAATTCAAATGATATTGTGCTCTTTACAAAAGAGGGGGAGCTACCAATTCCTGTGTCAGCATAGTGGCATATTCAAAAGGAGACTAATGTCCTGTGCTAATGAGGAAGAGATGGCCACTAATAAGGTGGTGCTTTCCCCCTCTTTGATGACACGTACAACAGGAGAATGTCAATCAAAGTGTTTCTCCAGACTGTTTCTATCAAGTGTAATTATTAAAAAAAAAAGAATAATAATTAACAAATGTTTACCATTAGAAGCTGGTTATATCACAGACTCTTATATCACACAACTGTCTTTAAACCCTTTATAAAAGTTGTTTTTGCATTATAGGTTCCCTTTAAATGATAATAAACTCAAGATCAAAACAGACCACCTGTTTACCTTACACTCATAACCCCAACATTTTAAAAAACCTTAACCAGTCTGCCGTCTTACTCTTTCATTGTTCTGATGTCACAAATCTGTCTGTGTCTAGAATCCCTTGGACCCCGGAGGAGTGCTGAAGAAACGAATGAACTCTCTCTCTCAAAGAAGCGCGACTGACAGGTTCTCCAGGCCGTCTCAATCTGATTTCCACCAGCAAGGCTCCGCTGTCCCTGCAAACAACATGCTGATAGGAACTAGTATTATTGACAAGTACTCACGCATCCTTTTCCCTCTGTCCTTTGGAGCCTTTAACCTGGTCTACTGGATTGTCTATCTCACCAAAGACACAATGGAATCCAGGTAAGAATCTGAGATGCTATATAGATGTAGATATGGTTAGGTCATTGGCCCATAAACATTATACTATTATACAGGGTAGGCCATTTATATGGATACACCTTAATAAAATGGGAATGGTGGGTGATATTAACGTCCTGTTTGTGGCACATTAGTATATGTGAGGGGGAAAACTTTTCAAGATGATGGTGACCATTTTGAAGTCGGCCATCTTGGATCCAACTTTTGTTTTTTTTTTAATTGGAAGAGAGTCACGTGACACATCAAACTTACCGAGAATTTCACAAGAAAGTCAATGGTGTGCTTGTTTTTAATGTAACTTTATTCTTCTATGAGTTATTTACAAGTTTATGACCACTTCATTTAAGGTGCTGCACATCTTGTATCTTCACACCATAGACAACAAAGATAGTCGGGCCACTCTTCATCAATGGAAACCTCAAGGCCACTGGATATATGAAACTGCTACATGATGTGTTTCCCTCTTTATGCACTGAAGCTGGCACGCTCCCTGAGTTTTTCCAGCAAGATGGTGCACCACCACATTATAGGTGTCAGGTCCGAGCATTCCTAGATGAACAGTTTCCTGAAAAGTGGATTGGGCGTCGTGGGCCAGTTAAATGGCCCACAAGGTGTCCCAATCCGACCCCCTTAGACTTTTATCTTTGGGGTCATCTGAAGGCATTGGACGTTAATATCACCAACCATTCCCATTTAATTAAGTTGTATCCAAATAAATGGCTAACCCTGTACAATGCAGTGATGTCATGTAGTTTCAAAATACAATATATTAACACTTTAATGTAGAAAAATACAATGTAGGTGTCTTAAGAAGCAAAAATACAGCATATGAGCTCTTATATGCTGTTTTGTCATCACTCATATTGCAAGTCTTATCTCTCCGACCCTTCATTTGGGATGCTTTTCATGAACTGGCCGCCATGACAAACTAATTGAATAGCTCTGGCGTACACCAATTCTGCACATTTGACTGATTGTTTGCCTTTATTTCCTATAATGTATACACTTATTGTACGTTATACTTTTATAATGTCCATTGTTGATTATAAAAACTGATATTTAGCATAAGAGACATGGTATGTTTCATATATTTCAATAAAACCCTACTGGAATAATCTAGCTTCCGCCATATAATGCGGCTGCTCGTGTTAACAAAGAGGGAACAGAACTTTGTTAGTCATTCAGCATGCTATTTGTGCATCATTTGATGACTTTGTTCATCAAAGCTTAAAGAGTCAAGTGACCATGTGACCTACAAAACAAATAGCTCTCTCTGCTCATTAACCACAACACACACACATCTGAGTTTTAGCCAACAACGAAAAGTGTAACATTTAAATATATATGACTTTGCAAGTTTAATATGGAAAACAAACTACTGAGGACACTGTTCCCTCAAAGGGAACAGTGTACTCCATAACCTCATTCACATCACCCTGATACATAGTTTTTTTATATTTTTAAAGGGCCATGAAACCCCCTCGTTTCAGCAGGGTGTATTCACACCTCTACTTTGGAAAAGGTC